TCGTCGATCGTGTAACTATTCTCATCGATCGTCTATTCTCGTCGATCGTCTCATCGATCGATCGCCAGAGGGCGCTGCGGTAGCACATTGGCCTATCACATGACTATCAAAATGGCAGACAACAAAATGATTGCTAGTGAAATAAGAACATTTTCTCAACAATTTCAATTTTAGTTGTTAATAATTAAAAGACATTCGGTTGTAGGGACATTATTTTCTAGTTGTGCTTAACTCTGACCATGGCTGGCCGAGTTAAAAATTACCGCGTGATTGACAGACAGAAGCACGTGTTGCTACCGCAGCGCCCTCTGACGATCGATCGATGAGACGATCGATGAGAATAGTTACACGATCGACGAGATTAGACAATCGACGAGAATAGTTACACGATCGACGAAAACAGTTTGACGATCGACGAGATTAGTTACACGATCGACGAAAATAGTGACAGCATTGGTTTTAATACACCATAGATGAGAAATGTTTGACAATTGAATTGACGAAAGTAGATGTTGAATTTATGCCAGGATCGTTTAAACTTGAAACTGAATCGATGGGAAGGCAGTGAATCGACGAAACATAACTGAATCGACGACATGACTTTTTGCCCTTTTGGCCGCCCATACTAACTCGTCCGCAGATTTAATATGGCAACCCTCATAAAAGCTTGTCGTCCAATCCCCTAATAAATGCTGAATATGTTTTTTCCTGATGCATTCAAGAGGGTCGGCCATATTTGATCCAAGGACTAGTTAGTCTGCTGTTGTGAATGTGATAGGAAAAGAAAGGTGAGGGATGAAATTGAGGAGGGTGGAAAATGGGAAAGTGAAATCGATAATGAAGGGAGGGATGGAAAAAGAAAGAAAGGTGAGACAGAATAGGAAAAGATTAGAGAGGTCAGGATTTCATTAAAATTATAAAACAAAATGTTGATGCATCTTAAAAGATTCAAACGAGTCAATTTAAGTTTAGCCAAAAATAAGTTAAAAATTTAAGATATAATTTTTAGATTAAAACAGAAAATAAATTTATAGTGGACAAGAGATCAGATTAGTCACCTATTGAAAGACATGCAGAAAATGAAGCAAAGAAATAAGTTTTGCACCATATTGTATTCAGAGCATAAGTTGTGATTAAAAAAAACAATCTTATTTATTCTAGTAACCGAGATGGTGAGCTGACTTATTTCGCCGTCGCTGACGACTCCACAGCGCACATTCAGCGCATGGTCAGCGCTCAGAGGTCCAACAAGTCCAAGAAGAAGGGCAAAGGTTATAGAGGGAAACACCTTAAGGTCAATGTAAGGAACTATACCTTCCTATTAGTCTGATGTGTTATTGTGCCAGCTACTGATGCAGGGAAGACTTTGTAGAGGATTTCAGTCAACAGACATGCTGAAACTGTCGGTCCGATCAGTCATGACTGGGAAAATTTGTCTGGACCGGTAAAAAACTGTTAGTGATCGGTCTAAAGGACTGACAAGTGTTTTAAGAGCCACACTTTTGAATTTAGAGTCATCATTTGACACACTCCCCTAATAGAATTATATAAAACCCAAAGCGTTTTTTCCCTTCCATTTTAAACCTATCACATTCACAAACAAAGTAAGCTACCTAATCAGTACTATCTGTCTCAAACTAATAGGGTATTTTTCGGGCAGACAAAAATCCATTCAGTTCGGCAAATTTTTCATTACTGCCAGTTCAAATGTCCGGCCACTGTGAAAAGTTTTCAGCATGTTTGAGTCAAGCACTTAAAGATAAATTAAGGTGGTAGTGTTGGTAAATATGACGATGATTGTTTATTAATTTTCTTGGTCATTTGTTTTTTTATTATTTTTTGGTCATTTAATTCTGTATATTTCCATTTATTTATTTATTTATTTATTTATTCATTTATGGCTCCAGGTTCAGTCAAGACGGCCAGTGCCAAGTCCCTACAGGAAGACAGGAGGAGGAAGGTTTGGGCCGAAAATCCAGCGATACTCTCCCCCCAAAATGACCCTGTCCAGAACTTCCATGATTCCACACCACACAAAGCAGGTGGAGTTTCACTGTCTCATAGCATCATATGCAGATTTTTTTTTTTTTTACATTTCCCAGAAATTCAAAGTTGGATCTGGAATGCTGTTGGACTATGTTTTTTTTTTTTTTTGTCTGTCCTGAGACAATGCATGCATAGCGCTGTTTATGTCATCAACTCTTGTGAAGATTACTTTGTGGTATTATTAATATATATAATAGTGAAATAATAGTGAAAAGTAATTGTAATGGAGATGTTATTTACTTATAGTTATTTATCTGTCTTGTATGATTAGATTTTTATTACTCGATTTATTACACCAGGACAGAAAGGGAGACAAGTCTCTCATTCTTAGTTGTTAAATTGCAATTAACAAACTAGATATATTTCATTATTTCAGATGGCACCAGCAAGAAACTTCTCCTCTTCATTTGAGGTACCACCAAGATTCCAGAAGACATCTTCCAATATGGCATCGAGTGTCCCTGCTGCCAAGAGTGCCTCGTCTTCCTCTCTGAAGGTTACGGTGCCCAATACTAAGAATGATAAAGGTATTACATGAGCTCATCCCACATCATGCACTGCATTTGCTATTATATTAGATAAATAAATCTACATAAATGTTTTACCATCAAGTGATTTAATCCCAATAAAAACAGAAATACATATCATACTCAATTGTTGATATATTTTTATCATTTATTTGGATATTTAGAAGAAGAGTGGACATCACAGTGGCCATCTTGGACTTTGTTTGTTTCCATGGTTACATGACCACTTCCACATCATCATTAACTTTTGCCAATGGATTCTGAGCATTTAAGTAATGTATGGTGTTGTTTGGTGTTTAGAGGGAACACTAAATCTGCAAGTTTTGACCCTTTGCAATGTGGCAATATTTATTACACTTATTTTTTAGCAATTTCATTTTCTTTATAATTGTAGATTTTATCATTTTTAGCACAGCCAGCATGATGTGTCAGTCATTGTGGACAGGTTTTTTTTTTTTTCAAGGTTTTTCTTTGCCTTGACTAGTACAAGAGAGCACAATTTCTGATAGCATGTCACTGTTATGGACAGATTTTATGGCTTTTTATTAAAAATTTTTCGTTGCAGTATTCGTTAATTACAAAAGTGCTCTCTATGAATATGCTGCCAAAACCAAGAAGTCTGTTTACTACAACAAAACTGATTCAACCAAAGTTGGGTTTGTCAGCTCACTGTGTTTGGAAGGTGTGGTTTATGGGAGTGAGGGTAGGTCAAACATTCATATTTCATTCTTTAAAATTCATTATTCTGTACAATTTGTGTATTAATTTATGTATTTAATAGTTTTTATTTTTGATATCCTTTTTGCTTCATTTAAATACTTAAAATAAAATGGTCTTTTCCTCTGTATAATTGGTTATTTAGAATAAAAATAACAATTGGTAAACTTTTTCGGATAAAGATGTCTTGTGACTACTGCGCCCCTTGGCATGTTCCAATAATAATGGCTGACAGTCTGTTGAAGATTGTGACCCAAAGTTCAACCAGAGTTGTTAGTAACTGATATAATTGACTCGCTTCTCATAATCAGGGGCGGATTTAGGCTGTCTTGTGGGTCTTCCGGAAGATAGTCAGATTTTCGAGTTTACATTGATGGGTATGTAATTTTTTTGTCGGAAGACGGTCAAAAATTGGAGGATCAATGAAGATAATTTGGAAGCCTGTCAGAAAATATCTCTGGATCCACCCCTGATAATGTTGAATTTGATAAATGATAAAAGATCTTCAGTGCAGAAGGCATTTCTAGTAATGGGAGTTACATGTAGTTGATAAAAAAGACAGATTTTTACTTTCTTTGTAATATCTCCCCCCTCAGATGGGTACAAGAGTATGAAGGAGGCAGAACAAGCTGCTGCAATGAATGCTTGCCATGCTCTAGGCATAAAAGGTGAGTTGTTTTCTGAGCATTGTCTCAGTAAAGTGAAGATTGAGACCTAACAGAAGCTGTGTTGGTAATAGTGTCTGCTAAATGCACCCTGAGCTTCAGAGCTAACTTGACACTAACCTTTTCACTGTAGCCTATCTCCATCGTGTCAAGTAACCTCTGACGAAAATAGTTTGACCTAGTTTATATAAGCCAATCGAATCCATGTTTCAAAATTTTTCACCAAAGTTTGGTGAAAACGCTGATTGGTTGATCGTCAATCGGCAATCCTCGGCTGATTCCGCAAGCTCCATACTAACAACATAGTTATTGTCGAGTGCGGAGACATCCGAGTAGTTCCGAGTGCATAACCGTACACAAAGAAAGTATGGAGTATATCGGAATTGAAACCAGAGGAGTATGATGCCCTGCATCATTATCTACTGAGGGATGATGTATTTTGCGTGCTGCCCACAGGTTACGGCAAGTCCCTGATATTCAGCCTTATCTTTGATTGGTCCGGATTTGAACAAAGCGCGCTTTGACTCGTTCGCGTTCATTGGCTAGATCGTTCAATGAGTCATTGAGTGCGGGCTTTAAATTTGATTGGCGGGCGGCGGGGGCACTCGAATCTGGTCAGAGGTTACTTGACACGATGGAGATAGGCTACAGTGAAAAGGTTAGTGTCAAGTTAGCTCTGAAGCTCAGGGTGGCTAAATGTTGAAAGATAAGGCTGTGTTCAGATTAAAGGGATAATGACTTTTCGTTTTGGCCAAAAAATGGATTTTCACGGAGTAAACAACAATTTTCCCATGCTTACCAATGTTAATGAATCCATTTTTACATTCAAAGTTAGTCCCTGTTTTTTTTCTAAAAAGTTTGGTGTTTCTAAAAAGTATAGCCATCAATGGAGGTCAAGTGGTTTAAAGACAAGCTCAGATATCAGAATAATAGCTGTAGCTGCTGTTTTTGTTGTAAAACAGAATATTTATTTCTATGAGTTATTCACAATGTTTTTATTGTGAAATATAAACCTTATATGAAGAGTTATTATCCCTTTAAACTTTATCAATCTAGCTTGACCGATCTATCTTAGAGGGGATTCTTCCTAAGGCGCAGAGTCAATGTACTAAGCTGAATATCCTGGCATAACTTACAATATGAACACAGACTTAGAAAAAATATTAGGTGTGCAACAAAAAAACCTTTGTTGAAAATAGAGTTGTAGATGTTATAGTTCTAAACTTTTAAATATGAAATATATATTATATACATATAATTGATATTGCATCTTATCCAGTTTGAAACCTCCAACAATGTAATTTTTTGGGGGAAGGAGAGAGGGGGGAGGCATTCAGTAGCCATTTAAATGTTTTGCTTTTTTTTTTTTCATTTCCAGTTGCAGGCTCTCCCAGTCCCCCCAGAGTTGTCAGTGTAAGTGGCACAGAAGGTAAAAGTGCTGTAAGTGAAGAAATCCTGAAGTCCAGAGTAAGACAGGTGAGAATCATGATAAGAAAGATACTAAATATATACATGTATAAAAAAAATAAGCCATCTTGTTTTAACCAAGACTACTAAAGGAATAGTATGGTTTTTTTTTGTTTGTTTTTTAATGCTACTTATAATGCCAGTTTTTGTCGGTCTGGATTTCAGTGTGTTTTTGTGGTTACTTTAATTTACAAGAAAAAAGGGATAAACAAAATCATCAAAAAATCATCACAAGAGAAGATCAAAAAGAAATAATAATCATTATTAAAGACACTATTTTAATCAAAAGTCCCATTAAGTTATAAAAGGATAAATATAAGGAAAAAATTAATTGATTTTGGAGATCTCTAGTGGGGTTTGTATGATTAATGATAATATATATATGTGACTACATGAGGAGAAAGACATGCCCTGACACAAGTCTGCTTAGGGGGGAATTCAGCAATGATGAAGGAGTAAAGAGATATTCAAAAAAATTCATTATATTTATCCAAAAGGTAATCCACACAGTATGATTTTGCTCACAATCACCGATTAGAAAAAATATTTAAAAGATATAAATATCACCTTTAATTAATTTAGTTAATTCTGTTATTCGGTAGTTCACTGCACAACTTTTTAATCTCTCGGTAAACCTTTTCATTACATTCCCTACAGGAAAAATCAAACATGGCCGTGTTTCCCATGTGTCTATAGCAACGCTTGCTAGGGGTTTCCCAAAGCATTTTCACGGTCTGTAACTTTGACTGAATCCTGTCTCTCTCCCTGGAAACTTTATTACATTCCTTTTCCATTGCCACTTCTTTTTCCTTGATGTAACTGGCATAGTCTCTCATGGTGTTGATTTTAGATTTGTATATCGTGTTCAGAGTTCTTGGTTCTAGTTGTTGAAATTCATCACATTTTTCCAAGTCTTCGAGGGTAAGCCTGGTGGCTCCCTCTATGCACTTTGTGTACAGCTTATCGAGGCAGTATCTTTGAGCAAGAAGGAGGCTTTCCAAATCAGTGTTCCCAGACAGGAGGAAGACTTCACAGCGTTGCTTGATTTTTTCGATCTGGTACTCCTCTGCCAGTTCCAGTAGAAAGTGGACATTTTCCTCTAAAAAGAAAGCGTTTAATATGAGAAATGTTTTATCTTGAGATCCATGGCTTAGTATTTAAATTTGTTGCTGATATTGTAAAATAAATTTGCACTTGAAATTTTAAACATAGAAGGAACTCATGTGTGCATAGAGCATTGAAAGTCAGAATAAATTTAAAGGAGAGAGAGAAATTACTAAGCAGAGAGAGAGAGAGAAACAACCCAGCAAGTTCCATGTAAAAACAAAAGAGACATATCAGTTATTAGTCACACCAGTTGGCACCCACCATTGATTGCTTGCTGACTGGGATATATACAATGTAACAGTTCAACCATCTGCTCCAGTTCTTTTCCTGGAAGCTCGATCTCTTGGGCTGATTTTTCTCGAAAGTTTGCAACAAACATGGCTCTCCATACGGGGGACCACTCCGCCAGGTAAACCTTGTGTACATATAGTGGCTCTCCCTGGACAATCAGGGTGACGTCACTGAGCTCATCTTTCTGTGTGAAATCCCGCAGATTGTTCCCCTGCTGAAGCTGAGCCTTTGTTGCCATGGTGAGAGACTGTTGCCTTGGTGATTGAACTATGTTGTTGTCATGGTTAATTGCTTTGTTGTCATGTGGTCAACATTCAGTGTGCACTCTGCAGAAGTGTAAAGTGTTTTTTGCAGTTGGATTTTTCCTTTTACTGACTGGTTTGAAGGGAAAAAAAAGCTTTTATATTTTGCCCAAGGGTTAAGCAATTAATTCCGTTTTCTGGTATTTTCTGATCAGCTGCCAATTTGTCATTGGAAATTGTGCTCTGTCAATGCCTGGCCTAGATCCCTGTGAAGTGTGTTTCTTCGACCAAAAGTTTCTGCTCTCACGGGCTGAAATCACAAAAATAAACACCAATTAGACTGAAACAACAATGTTTTCCACTTCAGCACCAGTAGCTGTAGCATCAGATTATTACCCCAGGCTGGAATGTAGAGGAGTCCACTTCTGTATTCTTGAGAAAAACATTGCTGTTTACAAATGATAGAAAAAAATGTGCACTGGATCTTTGCTGTCAAGCACATTTTCAAAATCTGTACATGTACTTGTAGTACAAAGTGTAAGTTATAAAAGAAAAATGTATTTAAACCTTCTGTTGCACTCCCACTAGAATAAATATTTGGGTTCAGAATGTCACAAAACGTGTCAAGTGAAATTAATTTTAGGTAAGGAACTAGCAAAAAAACTTTGTTTTAAATTTGAAGTAACAGAAATCCATACACCCTGTCACACAGTTGTATGTTGTAAGATATTGGGGATTGGAGGAAGGAAATATGTGAATAATGGAGATGGGATGAGCTATTTTCAACTATTTGTGGATTTTTGGAAGTCAAACAAATCAGTTTTGAGATCGATGCAGATCTGCAATATAAACTGTCAGTGAGGGATGGGGGAAGAGGAGTAGGACCCAACTAAATTGCAGTCTCATCCCTGATAAATTATTTAAATAAAAAAAGTTAAAATACTCCAATTAATGATACCACCCCCTGTTAATGCCATCTTACTTGACCAATGATATTCACTTCCTTGTGTAATGGCTTCGCACAGTCATCAAATGTTTTTTTTTTTTTTTTTTTAATCTAGACTCAGACTCTTGGTGGTTAATCCAGTCAAGATCATTAGTGAAAACAAATGCGAACTATTGGCCACAAACTTTTGCACAGTCCTCCCCCTTTTAGAAATATTGTCAGAAACCCTAATGAGGGCAGACGTTGGAATGCGGTGTTTATTTTCTTGCTATTAAGTATTATTTTTGTGTTTATTTTGACATATCTGATAGAGCAGAGCATTTGTTTGCTGTGTGGTAATATGCCAGTACTCACAAGTATTTTCTCTCTGTTTTTAATAGGTTTACACTGCCAAGCTTTCCAGTTGGCATTTTATTAAAGATTATCAAAATGTGAAAGTTTTCTACTTTTACGTGATTTCATTTGAACTTTTTAGTCAATTGTGTGAAAAGCAAATTACAATCTTGCAGGTCTCAAAAGATAAATTACCCTTTTTACAAAATATAACTGGTGAACAATTTGGAGAAGTATAAG